TGACAGTGGACATTTGCACTACTGCGGATGCCATCTCTCCATGTCTGTATGTCAAGTCTATATGTCTGCGTATGTCCGTATGTCCGAAGGTCTGCATGCACGCATGGACGGACGGAGGGAGGGAGGGAGGGATGGATGTATGGGGGGTGCATGTATCTATGCATGTACGTCTGATGCATGTACATGTATGTATGCCGTGTAAGTTATGTATGCAACGCATGTTATATATACATATATATATATATATAATGTATGTCAAGGTGCGTCATGTCGGTAATCTAGTAATGTATGAAATGTACGTAATGCACTACAAGGCACTGCAATGTAATGTAATGTGATGTGGTGGGATGTGATGCGGTGTACTGGAATGCCCTGTAATCTCACATGGTTTCAAGGATCGGCAGTACAATGTACCGCCATGCAGTACAATTCCACGCCATGTCATTTAACATGATGTACTCTACCGTACTGTGCGGTCTTGTGATTGCTGTACTGTGCTCTATTCTACTCTACTCTGCGGCAGGCAGGCAGGTAGGCAGGCAGGTATGTAGGTGTATTTTTAGGTTTTCAACCTGTGCACGCACACGTCAAGAAAACTATACCACTTTCCTTAGAAAGTCCTCTCAGCTGTTATCCTGACAGCTAGATTGTAAATAGATGATGCTTATCATGACATGCGTATGTGAGGCCGGCGAGAAAAACACGAGAGAGGTCGATGTTAAAGATATGAAAAAAAAACAAACCACCTTACACCACCTTCCGTACACGGCATGCCGTGACACCACCATGCCAGGCCCCGGCTTTCCGAATCCGGCTTCGCACTTCAGGTGCTTCGAGCCTCGGCTGAGGGTTCGGGGTTCGAGAAAAGTGTTGAAACTGCCTCTGAACACTCTCTCGGCAGGCATTTAGAGCACCCGCATCACCGGCGCATCACAGAGGCAATACCAAGTTTCCGAACGCGGCAACGCGAAAACGCAATGCAGCCACAAGACGATACAGTCTTGATGGAGATAAGCTCGTCCTCTTCCCTGAAGGCAAGAGGCTTTGTAGCTTCAGGGCTTGCTCTGGGGATTAACTGCGTCGGAGGCTTGGCCTCCACCTCTCTAGCTGCAAAGAAAAAGAAGCCACATCTCCTAGAAAATCCAGGATGAAGGAGGCTTCGGTGACACCCTCGTACCATGTCCAAACAAAGTTTCCTTGTCGATGCAAACCGATGTGGACATGCAGATACTTCACGCATGTTGATGAACACGAAAACAGGACCGAGGACAAAACGACATAACGCAACAGCAAGAACGATAACAACAATCACAAAAGGACGATAACACGAAGCGGCTTTCCGCATTTCAGATGGCGCGAAAGCATGAAAGAGTAGCTGAGGGATTGCTGAGCAGCCAGCGGAGCAAACCCTGGCGGGTTTGGTCCCTCGATGACGCGCACCTGCGCCTGGCTTCCGAAGGCCCGTTCTGCTAATGATTCAACACTGTACAGTGTTCTGGTGTGCTTTGCTGCAGTTGCAACCTTTGCACGATCATGTCCGTACTCTTAAGAAGCCGTGGGCTTCAAGCAACGCACTCGAAGCCTTTAAGCGGTGGTTCTCGTTGATGAGGGACTCCATCACCTGGGGAACAGGGGAAGGAGTCACCAAATGTCTGTGTTGCCCGCAGGAACCGCAACCGCAGACATCGTTTGGCAGAATCGTCAGCTACATACCTCCGATAAACCACTGGAAGCCACACAGACCGCGCAACCTGCACTACTTGTTCTTCGGCGAAACATTCCCTTTGCCTCAAAACTTACCGCAGTGTCTTGCTGATGGGATCTAATGGGCCAGCAACACAACAAAAGTTCACAGCAGCAGAACCTAGCCACAACAAGGAGACACAATGAAGCCCGGCATGACCTTGACAACTTGCAGCCTCCTATAGTGAAGCCGACAGCAACCGAGACCGCTACCAACTACATCATCGGGTCGAGACACGGAGGGTCGATTGGGTGGTTTCGGACCGTGCTCGGGGAAGGACTTCGATCTAAGTCGGACGGTGAGGTGAAAACTTAAGCATGCTGTGCTGGATGAACACTAAAGAAAATCGACCCAAGCTCGCTCGTTGCAGCTGAAGCACCAAACAGACCCCGTACGGCAAAGTGAACAACTCGTGCCCAGGTCGAAACACGAAGCTACTGCTATCACGACGTAGAAGATAATGATATCGAAGTATGTCCACAGTTGCATTACTGCTCGCCTGAGCTTGTCCCAATAACTGCATAACCCCGCAACTGCAAATCCAAAACCTTAAACTCAAAACCGCAGTCGCAACCAGCCTTCGAATGTGATCGCGCCCCGATCTCCTCGAGCTCTTTCTTCAGATCCTCCGGATATCTCCATATCTTCCATTGATTTGAAACGGACCTCCTGTTCTAGATACTAGGAGAAAGACTTAGGGGGGCAGAGGGGGAGGGGGAGAGAGGGAGGGAAGGAGGGGGGGAGTGTAGGGAGGGGAGGGATGGAGAGAGTTTCCACATGTCATACAAACACAAATACGAACTTGACACCCTGACCTGAAACGATCGGCCTCACGCCGTCATCCTTATCACCATCGTCTTCGGCTTTCCCCTCTTCACCCTCACCGTCACAGTCACCATCATCTTCTTCGTCATCGCGATAGATATCATCACGAACAACACCAACAACGACGACGAAAACCACAACAGCCACAGCTGCAGCAGCACCAGCAACAGACGACGACGACGACCACGGCAGCGACAACGACAACAACAACCACCACCACCACCACCACCACCACCGCGAAGATGACGACAACAAATCATTGCGAGAGCTGTCAGCACTATGCTTTTCATCATCACACCCGTCGGCATCGTAGGAACCTCATCTCCGTAAGCTCCATCGTCATCATCATCAACAACATCATCACAGGCATCGTCACAAGAAGCAGCACAGCAGCCTTGTTGCTGTCGCTAGTATCCCCATGGCCTTCAACTACGACGGCAACGCCACACTGCGATGATCCCAAAACATGCCGGGGCAGTCCAGGTTCTCGCTCTGAAGGGCGAGCACCTGCGAAAATACTTCCGGTGGAGTCCGCTTCTCAGAAGCGGCTTGGATTGGGGCCCTTGGGCCCTCAGGCCCACGTCTTTGCGAACCACGCGAGACCGAAGCCTGAGGCTCTCCGGAAGCTTCCCCTGGGGCTACGCTCTCTGGCCCCTGATGACCATCACGTTCGGCGTCGTGACGGCTACTGCTCCTTTCGTGCTGCCTGCTCGTGCAGCTTCTTGTAGTGGCTCTGCACATCCGCGAGGGTCTGCCTCGGTGTCATGACTCTGGGCTGTGGGACTTTGGACGTTCACCTTCTGGGCGGTGCTTCTTCCTCCCTGCCGTCCCGGGTCTCGGAACAAGTCGTGGCTGCGGCTTCGGACATACCGGCAACCGTTAACACCTTCAAATCTGCAGCTGAAGGTTCGGAATGGTGGAGAATGCAACATGCATGCTTGCAGCCAGGCCGCTGAATGGCGATGGGCAGCGCCATGGCTTCAAAAGCCTTGGAGTCACTTGCAGCTTGCAGCGGGTGGACCCTAAGGTCTCAGACCTGGTGTCTTTTGGTATCTCTCTGTTTGCAGCTTGCAGATCCGACTGTAAATGAACCTGCACTCAGCCGCCAAAAGAGCATGTTTTGCAACAAGCAGCTTTGGCGGAGCAGCGGCGGTAGTAGGGTAGCAGTACTAAAAAATACTGCTATGTACTAGTAGTACTGATTGAAGCAGTTTCTGCCTCTACTAATCGCAGCAGTAGCAATGGGCAGTGGGAGTGGCGGTAGCAGCAGTGCAGGAGCTCCGGCCTTAGCCGGAGCAGAAGCTGGAGCAGAAGTAGTAGGAGTAGCAGTAGCAGCAGTAGTAGTCGAAGTAGCAGCAGCAGCAGCAGCAGCAGCACTTGAACTCGTACTAGTAATACTACAGCAATCGCGAACGGCGACAATGCCTCTGCAAAGATGCCATGGATGGTCAAAGTCCGGTTCACTATTACCGAGCTTCCCAAACTAGTCATTGCACATGTAGCACTGCCGAGCTTACAAGCAAAACGAACACATTGGGATTCCACAAGAAAAGGGAATGCGAAAATCTGCCTGCAGTGGGAGCCCAGGTCCGCAGGGCGCCCAGCGAAGAGCCGCTACAACGTCACTCTGGTGTTCTCTAAAGCCTTCAACCAGTATGGTGCCCTTGGCCTAGGAATGCCCAAAATCGAAATACTTGGTGATCGTTCCAATGCTTCTTTGGATACCTTTCTATGCAAACATGGGAAAGATCCTGCCAGATTGTCTGCTCGTGTCGTATAAGATCGCGAGACCTGCCGCCCAGCTCTTGCGTACATCTCCTGCCCATCACCTCGGCAGGTCGGGCTCTGCCACTGAATTCTATTGAATAAGCTTGGCTCTAAAGCGCTTTGGTGACTCGGGCTCTGGCGACTCCAAGACCACAGCTAGCAAATGCTGGAGCCAAAGGTGCGATACCAAGGCCAATAACTTGTGAAGACAGAAGGTATGAACGGGATATCACGGGTTAGGGAACCAGTGCTACGACGATGCTATAGAAGCAAGGGTATGGCTGACACGTGAACTGCCGGTTATATTGATGGTACCTGAATACGCATGGCTATTTGCCATAACCCGCTGACAACCAGAAACCTCTATCCCAAAAAGCAAACATACGCAGTTTGGTGGCATCATAGCTGAGAAGCCGCATAGTAGATCATAGCAGAACCTGCAGCTCCCAAGCCGGCCCTCTGCGAAGTCCTCGAGTCGACCTCAGCCTTCCCTCGTTTGTCTCGACCCTCGCTAGGCCGCTTGGCGGGCAATTGCGCGGGCGCTGAACTTGTGCAGCTCTGCAGCTCTTTGCTGAACGTAATGCAATTAGCCTTTGCAGGGTAACGGCGGACTGCATCAGCTTTCTTCTTCGAAGTGTCCAACGAGTACTGTACTGGGTAAGGCTCATAGATCAGAAGGGTCCTCTTGCGGACATGCCAGCTGCCTTTGGACACACGCACATGAAGCACTGCACTACGTTGCACGCAGCAGGTCTCACACCAGCAAGCGAAATTGATTCCGAGGAACCATAGAAGGTAAGCCACGGGGGAGACTGACAGCACGGCGCCAAGAATAGCATAGCCAACAGCACAGTAGTGGCTGATCCCGCGTGGCTTGCAGATCGACAGGTATGCGATGGTCGGAATCAGGAGGACGTTGAAGCTGGTGATGGTGCCTAGTTCGACGGAACAATGACGCACCAGGTCGGGCACGGGGGGTCCGCGGCAGCATGGGAGCGCTGGGGAGGTCGAAGGCGAGGGAATTCACTGCAACCCTATTTACTGTTGCCTTTGGGAGGCCTGCGTGAGACCGTAACCCCAAGGAAGCATTGCTTGCAGCTCAGATTCCCCACTCAGACTTATCTTCACCTGCCGTTTGGTTTTGGACGGAAAGCATCGAATCATGAATTTTTCCTACAGTACCAGAGACTAGCTTGGGCATCCAACGATGGACAACGGCCCGCAGCTTTCAGTCTTGCAGGAAAGGGATCCGCCGCCTTACCCCACGTATTCTAATGTTTTGCTGATATCGGCCTGCTACAGATTTTCAAAGGGAATCCCAACCAGCAAGCCCGCGACACATGCAAGACCAGGGCCCTCGAACCCTTGCCTGAAGATTCACGGGTACCTGTAAGTTTCACAAGCAAGCAAGATGGGGCAGCGGCACCGATCGAATTGATACATCCTGTGGAGCAGTCATTGCTTCTGACCTAGGAGGGACCGCAAACACCTCTTTGAACCCGTCTCAGCTTCAGCCAAGAAGCAACCAGCCACGCTGTAGAAGGCCTCAGTGCATGCGCCCTTTCTGCCAAGCTAGCATTTAACTCACAGAATCAAAACGGCCCAAACCTGCCCCAGCTAAAAGAGAAAGGCACCTGCCTCCAAACGATCCGCGAAGAATATCGCCACCGCGGCCAGTAGGACCATAACAGGCGTCATGAGCAAGGGCCCAGCGCTGTGACCTGGAGGCAGCCATCGAAGGCTCCTAGCATACGCATTCGCCAGTGGTCTTGCAAGGGGGACGGCGTTCCCCAGCACCTTGATCGCCATCCAGACACCCGCAATCCTGCGGAGCTCCCCTTCGATATTGGCCATTATGTCGGGTTGCAAGGCTGAGCCATAAATCCGGTAGGCCATTCCACCACAAAGAACCGAGACAGTGGTCGCGATTGGCCAAGCACCAAGAATCGACACCCGCAAGTCTGTGGGACTTCGAGTGGTATGCATCACGCCGACGATCAGCGGATGCGTGCCAACGGCAAAGAAGATCAAGGCAAAAGTGCTGGGAATGTAGTCCGGGTCGGGCAGGTACAACATGTCGGTCGCCCAGCTGTCCGGCCCACCACACAGGAGTAGCCCCAGGATCACCACAGTGGCCACGGAGGACAACAAGCCGACGTAGGCAAAGAGCCGGTCGGAGAAGGCCGACCTTGGGCAGGAGCGAGGCCACACAAAAGAGGCGATGAACTCTTCTTTTAACAACTTGATGTTTTGCAAACGGACATATAAAAGAAAGCAATATGCCATTATTGTAACTCATGCTGCCACCCAATATCTTTGCAGAACGGTAATCTATTGAAGAATCGACTCACTCCTCAATCAAGTAGAGATAAGAATAAGTGGAATGCAGACTTCCCATTCTTGTAAACACTCGCCAGGCAGCGGCTGCCGTGTTAGGTTTTTGAAGATGTCTTGCTTTCACATGCAGTCCTGTCTGTCGTGTGTGAATCCCTGGAGTGAACCGGCAGCTCCTCTCCATAAGGGGGCAAGAAATTTTTGGCTCCCACCCACCCACCCAATCGCGGACGGAGGGTATTCAAGGCCCTCCTTGTGCCACTTTTACCTCTGGCTCGATTTACCCGAAATGCTTGTGCGTCGGTCTGACCGGAGCTGTGGAGGCTCCTGGATTCGATCTGACCCCAGAACTTCCAGATCGAAGTGCGATAGAAAGACAGGCATGTGTGAGCAGATGGCGTGAGTGAAATATGAAAACTCTTACAAGGAGAAAAGATCTTTCAAGCCTGCCAAGCTGCAATGCCACACATAGGGCACAAGCTGCCCCAATGGCAGTGTTCTGCGAGATCGGAAACATGGCGGCCAAAGCATAACCTCAGCTGCTGATGCCGCCGTTGATGCCGCCGCTGCCACTCTCGCAGCTGATGCTTGTGGTGGTGGTGCTGCTGCTGGTGGTGGTGGTGCTGGTGCTGCTGGTGGTGGTGGTGCTGGTAGTGGTGGTGGTGGTGCTGGTAGTGGTGGTGGT